CAGCCGGGGATCGAACCGGTGCTGCAGAGACTGCGGGCAGCTTCGCAACCCAGCGCTCAGCCGCTGCGCCACCGGGGAGGCCCTAGAAGGGCAGTGCTTTTCTAAGAGGGCCCTCCTAGGGCTTCAGAAAGGGGATATAACTTAGAGGGGAGGCTCTTGGCAGCCAGAGAAATGACTGCCCTCAAAACTTCCAGAAATGGGAGACATGCATCCTCCAATCCCGAGGGAGGGCTTGGGGGGGGCACAGGACAGCACCCCCCCATCATGTATTCCCTGGTTATCATCTACTGCTCACAAATTAGTCCCTATCTTAGCTAATTATTTGATTAGTTTCTACTACATGTCACTAAGGACAAACTCATTCATTTGATGGTCTTTATAGCCTCGATTGGATTCCAATATTTGACAGATTAGGAGTACCTCTGCTTTGTCTGTCTCTACAGAGAGCAGAGTCTAGTCAGAGCACTGACTGGGAGCCATTTAGTGCATGCCTGTCAAATGAATGAGTGATAATGTGTCAACTCCATTGCTAAACTGATGAACCACTCTATTTAACATACAAGATATTAAATGAACTTTACCTAAAGATGCTACTTAAGACTACCGGAATGTTCTAATTTCAAAGCTATCATCTGTCACCATGTAGCATAAACATGTTTATGAATATTGAATTTACTCCTGTTGGAAAATGTTCCTTTGGTTTCTATATTTCTTGAGGTAAGAATTATTACATATAAGATAGATAGATAGATAGATAGATAGATAGATAGATAGATAGATAGATAGACTGATATTTGTCCTAAGAAATTGGCAGGTGACACAAGATACTTTTATAATAACCTAATTTGGATGACATTGTGAGTTCTTTCATGTATTTAAGTAGATGGATTTCGTGGCCATCCAATGTATTTGAGTCAACTTTGAGAGAATCTCCTCTTGCTAGTGGTATTTTTATGCACAGTTGAAGTCCAACAAGGCAACCATTAATGAGAAGTTATTTCTGATTTTCCACACATTTCTCTATTACATAGAATTGGACCACATTTTGTGAATTTCAGGTTTCCTACATATCAGGATACCATTTTTACAGATATTTAAAATTACAGATGCAGAAACTTCTAGTTTTTGATGATCTTTAAAAAAATCAAACAGACGTATGTAATAATGTGTTTAAATTCCTTATGTCATTTTATTTTTCCTTCACATGAATATAAAGTTATTTGCTTTTTACCAGGCAGTTTTTGTCATTTGTTATAAGAAAATGTTTTAGATCTGTCAGTTTGCCACAAAGTAAGCCTCAGAACTTGGACACATCAGATACAAAATTAATTCTACGTAGCAAGCCATATTCTTACTTACAAGAGCATAAGCTAATATGTGAGTTTTAAATCTATATACAAAATTTAAAACCTGCTATCAAATCCTTTATATCACTAGAAACAGAATGTCAGTCTATTTGAGACACCAGAATTATCCTATCAAGATATCTGTATACAAACACATCACATTTGCTTATTTTCTCTATTCAGTTTCATAGCTTTGTATTACACACTGACAAATAATCTGCAGTTCTGTATATTTTTACAAGTTTAATTTCCAGTCAGATTTTTCCATGTCGAAACAAAATACAAATATTCCTACCTATAGTTTTGTGTATTTGTGCCATCCAGCTATAATAAGTTTGCTTTGGAAGTCCATATAGATCTTCACTGTCCACTGAGTTCTCTTGTCAAATGCAAGTCATTAACCTTTGTCAACAAACATACATTTGAAACGCTCCAAATTGGAGCCAAGAAGCAGGTGTTACAGGGGAAACAGACTTCAGACATTATCATGAAACATTTGGATGGGATGGCTGGGGTTTGGGCACCTTGATCCTTTACAGAAATATGTTTAAAGAAAGAACTCAGCAGAGGCAGCAGGGATTCTCACCACAGAGGCAATAATAACAAAGAAATGTAAGCCAGAAAAGCCCTTCTCTTTGAGAATTAAAGCAGAAGAAACTCCTCTCTCCAGAATGCGAAATGGAGGGTGGTGGTAAATTAATGGATTAAAATGCCAAGCAGCTTGTGCTATCTTAGAAAATCTGGTAACAAGATCAAAGCCAGCCAGGAGATTCTGGTGAAGTGAAAAGTACAGTACTAACTTACAACTAGGTTTGGAAATGCAAATTATGTATGTTCTCTTCTACTGAAAAGGGCAAAACAGAAAAGATGAGAGAAGAGGGGCAAGTTTATGAAGAAATTAGTGTATAATAGGTCATATTTGGCTAGTATTGATCTCTTCGATCCTAAACTGATATTTATATGTGTGTGCATATACACATATAGATGTTAATGAAATAATGAACATCCAGGTTGCACTGGATTTTATTAGACTAGAAAACAAAAGGTATCCTATGGACGTAGATATGTTTGGTGATAAACATTGGCTGTATTTGCTCATGTGAGATCTGCCAGTCTCAGTTGTAAGTAAGCTCGCCCCCTGCTGGCCCAGATTGCCATAGCACCTCCAGATAGATAGCCTGGTAAAAAAAGTAAGTGCTAAAAAATACTTCACTGCTGAATGAAGCTACATGTACCCTTTACAACAACTTACTGGTAGATTAAAGCTCACCACGGCTGGCATCCATCGTCCTGATGCTAAGCTGAATCAAACACCTGGAGGGCTCCTTCAAACCAAGGCTCCATCAGCCCTGTCCTGAGTTTCTGACTCGGTGGAGCTTGAATGAAGCCTGGCTGTGCTTATGCTGCCGGCTTGGAGCTATGGGGTGTGGCGGGGGGGAACTGAGCTACTGGGGGGTGCAGACTGTGATTAACACACAGCCACCTCCTGGGCCTGAGAATAAGTTGACCTTCCCTGAGCAAATTGCCAAGCAGTGGAGTGTGAGCAGGCTCTGCCTCCGAGGGTGACACATGGTTGGGGTGCAATGTTTGTCAACAAACTGCAGTGTTTACTTCCCCTTCCCCTCTCCCTTTGTACCTTCCTTTCTTTCTGTTTTTGTTTACTGATTTCCATTTAAACCAATCTAAATGAGTTGCTTAATGACAAAGTGTTGACTAGGAAATATTTTTGTTCTATCACGAAGTTATTTAAGTAGTTGTACCCAGCCACATCATTCCTGAGAAAAAGCCATCATTTTGCACATTTGTTATAACTCTTCCATTTCGTTTTGGACTATTTTAGTGGCAAACTCTTTTACTCAGTTTGACAGATCAAGAGAATCTTTCATTAAATGCTTCATTGTCATCCCAAATAATAGAAGTGTGTTCCCAACTATGTATCTCTTTGTAAAAGAAAAAGCTATATAATTGGGTATTTGAAAATTTTATTTGGAAGAGAAGGAAAAATCTGACTGCATTTGAAATGTGCTTCGTGATGTTAACTGAGGAAAACACTGAAGAAACCATAAGTTGTGTTACTGCCAGGCCCGTGAAGGGACCGGCCCTGCAGATGATCAGCTCTAGCTGCCTGGCCAATCAGCTCTAGCTGCCCATCTAAATCTGTTCCCCACTGACCCCCATGGGGGCAGGGTTTGCAGGAAAGTAGCGATATATTCCAGATTGTCAGTGGGTCCTGGAAGACACTTTAGACGTTAGGGGTGCTAGGGGGTTGGGGGGTAATGGAAGCCCCCCCCTCTGCTGTCCATCCCCTTGGCTTCCTGGAAGTGGTGGTTAGCCCGATCTTTACTGTCCAGACCCACTCCCTTCTTGGCAGGACTAATTTGGTCATGTCAAAATATTACATAAATTGGAAATGTCTTTTTGCCTTGCTTTGAAGGGAAGCTAAATAGCTCTGAATATTTAAGCAATATCCTCTTTTCTTTCCTGTGAACTCTGACCTTTCATATTTATATTGTCAGTTGGTGTTGATTTGATATAACCCCTGAATTTGTGTCTTGTTACATTGTCTGTGTAGGATGCAGTTTCATTTGTGTATACAAATTGTGTATTTACTGTGATAAAATTTATCATTTTATGAGCTCATGGTTTGGGGTCAAACTGGAAAAAATGTTCTAGTTAATGATTTGTCAAAGGTATCCAACATTCTTCCAGAATCTTCCAATACCATATGGTTTTTTTTTGTCAAAGTTCTGAATCTCTAATTCTTGATTACTATTGTGGTTATATAAAATGTTAAGAAAGATTCTATCTCCAGTTGTCTAACTTGTTTTTGTAATTAAGCAACACACATTTAATGTGCCATTGTGTGATCTCTATGTAATCTCTTATCACAGTATTTTTCAAGAAATTAGATATCCTTGGATTTTCCTAAAGTACATTCTAAAAAACTAGAGTTTATATTATGGTTTTAATAAAGACATTTTCTACAATAATTGTTAATTTTGCACAGAAAATTTTCACTAAAAACGAGAAACAATAATAATCTGAGGCCAATTAATGTACCTGTTAATTCCTATCTTGCATGTTAATTATAACAAGATTGATGGGCGCTCCAGTCCCTTCCTGATAGATTCACTCTGCTGCTTCTCAGGAGGGGCCAGCTCTGGCCCAGACCCACCTGGCTTCAAGGGCACCAAACACAGCAGGTCTGTGGCAGCTCAAAACCTTTTTTTTCCCTGAGAAAAATGACTGAAAGCAGACGTCTGCTGATTTTAATACTTCTGCTGATTTAGCAGATGAACAGCGCTTCTTGCACTGAATTTTATTATATTTTATTCTTCATTTATGGAGATGTGATTTCCTCCTTTGGACAACACACATAAAAACTAAATTTGCATAGCATGGAAAACAGATCATTCATTCAAGAACATAAAGAGTGGTATTGTGTTTTAGCCATTTTAGACATACACAAATACATCTTCCATTTATAGTTATATGCTAATCATAATATTTAATTGCAGAAATGTTGAGTTCCAGATGAAGAGATGCCTCCTTTGAATTCTTCCTAAAATATTTTTCTCTGTCAAAGAAGTTGCCATTCTTCTGTCTTTGCCAGAATAAATTACAAATAATGGAATCCCTGTTCTCTTTTGAAAGGAGCTGCTGGACCTTCAGCATGCCTACCACAAGCTAAGCAGACAATATGAGGCAAAAATAGCAGAACTGAGGGAGGCAAACAGCCGGATGGAGCAAAATGAGGCAGAAGTAAAGAAACTGAGATTTCGAGTGGAAGAACTCAAACAGGGACTCTGCCAAAAAGAAATGGAGGTACTTTGTGGGTGATGATGTGTTGGGTGGGTGCAAAATAGCATTTTAGAGCATCTAGAAAGCATTCTCTCATTAACGTGGTATTGAGATGAAAACCTCACCTTTCAAAAAAATTATTATGAAGAGAAAAATGTTACCTAGACAACATGCTTATCTCTCTGGTGCAAACAGTGCATTTTTAATGGGTGCTTTAGAGTCTCCAGGATGTTTTTGTGGGTGTATGAGGCAGGGAGGGTTATTCATGGGCTTGGTATCCTCAAAGTTTGAATGGTTTGAGTTTTAGACTTCCAAACTACACAGCAGAGATAAAAGCTACCGTGATTATCTCTATGGAACGCTTCTCCTGGTGCTCTCTGGTGTTTTAAAAGAAGGTGGACATTTTGTTTCGTTGTGTGAGTTCCAACTTGCTAATTGTTTAAGGAGTATTTAAGAGGTTTCTGGAAGGCTGAGGCTTCTGTGTGAGGTACTGATGGCACAGCTGAGCAGGGAGGTGACTTCAAAAATTGCAGGCAACACAGAGGGTTGTTTATTTTTTGTTTTGAAACACCTTCTCACATGTCCTTGCTGTCTCCTCACCACATGATGCCAGTTAAATCTGTGGTGTTCCAGGCACTGTGTCTGCCCCTGTTGGACAACTTTTGAGGCAAAAAGTATCAGGACCCTGGTTTGAAAGACTGTTTCCAAATACCAACAGTTGGGAATTTTTTGAAAATGCATTTATGCATTTTTTCCCCCAACGGTAAATTCAACAACAGGTATCTGCATAGTTTGATATTTAATTTTTAATCAGTTACTCCATTCAAGCAGAGTTTCCTGTCTCTCATCACCTGGACACAGGACCCCTCGCTCAGTGAGACTCCTGCCTCATCTCCTGATGTTCAGCACTGACTTTGGGTGGGAAGTTCATCCTTGATGTTTCCTTGTCTGAAGATTATATATGTTCATAAAGTAACGTGCATGAATAGTGCTACTGACTGTGGAAGAGAAGTCGGAAAAGGAACATAGTAGAAAGACGCAAGAGAATCCTTTGACGCTTTTATTTGATCATCGACGTTCCTGAGAATGTTTTAGTATGCAAGTGTTTGTGGCAGGTGGTGGTGACAACCTCTGTTGGTGCATGGAGGTTTCAGAAATTGTTTGAGATGGAAACATTGACAAGGAAATGGTGAAATCATATAGGGTTGAAGGGTTAATGAAGTGTTCAGTCATGAGGATCTGACTCAGCAGTCTAACCATATAATTTCAAAAATGAGCTGTGACCTTGAGAATGATCACATTATTGGCCTCCCCTGGGGGAGGATTGTTCTTCCACATCAGTAAAATCAGGCTCAGCTATGGGACATGTGCTTTGCCAGAGCATGAGGAGCAGGAGCCAAGTCACTGACATGAGGGGCTGTGAGAACCGAAAGAGAGCTCTGCTGTTCCTCCTCCCATGTCTCCTCAGCCGTTTCTCATGTCCTGAGGCCCCAAGTAGATCAGATTCTCTCAGCACAAATCCTGAAATGGAGCAAAGCTTAGGACCCTCATGGAATCCACACGGGTAAAAATTAAATATGCTGTGGTAAAACACTGACACTTTGCGACTACAGGAAGCTATAGTTAAAGCTGACGGGTGTTGTCATTAAAACAACAAAAACTGTAATTATGTGGCATTGACGGCAGGCATTAAGTAGGGAGTGAAGAAGCTTGTTGGAGGCCTAGAATGATGACAGTCCCTTTTATGGGATCTTGAAAAGATTGGGAGGCTTGTTTCCAGTAATGTGTGGAAAGCAGGTGACATACAGAATGCACCTGAGGTTTGGGGTGAATAGGTACACCAGTTGTGGAATAACATTGCTTTGTTCAACACCCTTTTGTTATAAGGTCGATGAGTAAAAGAAATCCTGGGAAATATTGAACAAAATGATGCTATTCAAAGATCTACTTTTCTTGAAAGTTGTTTTGCATCAAGTGTAGAACTTTTCAGGAACCATTTTGAAGGAAGACTGTATGTCCCTGTAGTTCCTTGTTTGCCACTGGTGCATTTAACAGGGGCCCAAAGAAAGGTGAGCTCTGAATAAAACTGCCAAGTTTCCAAAGAGATATGTATGGTAATACAGACATTTAAGTAGTTCTGTGACTTCCATGGTCTGATTTATATTTTCAAATGATAAAGTATAAAATGGAGGACGCTATGACTGCGTGTCAGTTAGAGTATGACTTTCTGGTGAGCATCCTTGGCATTGCCAAGTTGATTCTTCAAGAAACTCAGTCTATTAAAAATCCTTTCAGGTGAACTCCATAAATAAAGCCTTTCAGGTGAGCTCCATAGCAAAGGAGAGAGAGAGAGAACCTGTACAGAACATCACACAAACTCAAGGGAACTGCAGGTAGCTTAGAGAAAAATGTCATTTCTCCAAAAGAACTGTGGAAGTGACTACTGACCTATGGAATTTACTGGAATCAAACAGAAAAAAAAGACTACTATTATTTTTGTGGAAGTTATACTTCAAGTGAACTTCCAGTCAGGAATGAAAGAGAATTGATTTCTCTAGATTTAAAAGAATCTTTTCCTTTAAAATCCATGGTTGAGTTGTCACCTCCCTGAGGGGTAATAATCTCCATCCCCATTTTCACATGAGGACATGCAAATAATAATAAATGATAACAACAACAATAACAAAGGACTTCTTGAGAACCCAGAACCATAGAAAACTGCAGACTAGGCAACTATTTCAGGGAGCAGAACCCAGAACACTCTTGGGCAGAATAGGGGACCCTGTGACATGTGCTGTTGGGCTCAATACTTTCTTCTGTATGGAAGTGTGCATTGCAGTTCCTTATCCTAGTTCCACTGTAGTATATTGTGTGGTAGAGGGGAGGGTATAAATTACCTTTTGAGAACATTGATTTCTGGAGCAGAAGATGGTTTAGACCTAATATGAATATTATCATGAGATACTTGATGTTGAGACAAATGTTGTGGTGAAAGTTTGCATGGATAATTTTCCTTGGGGAGAGGTTGAAAAACTTTTTTTTAGATTGATTTATTTATGCATACAAGAGCTGCGGTGTAGGCCAGAGGTGAGAGGATCCACCAGAGACAGTGTGGGGAGCAGAACAGGTGGATCTACTGAAATCTGCTGAGGGGAGCACTGGGGAGACAGGAAAGGTCTGCTGAGCCAGACCTCCCTCTCTGAGGGAGCTGACTCCCTCTCTTGCTGCAGAGGCCGTGCATAGCTTCATAGTGCTGCGACTTAGCCCCCTGACCCATCAGGGAGGCCTAAGACTGAAAATTTTTAAGTACAGAGAAACGTGAGTGGTGTGACCCAGAGGATGGGTGGCATTATATTGTGCATGAGTGAGTGTGCAAATAGTGAGTTTGGGTGTATGAATGGTTGTTGCTCTGTCTTTTGGGAAGGAATGCAGGCCCCAAGCATGAATGCTTGACTCAATCCTGAGATTGTTTTCTGGCAAATGAAATTTGTGCTGCTTTCAAACAAAATTGTTATGAGAGTCCACAGTACAATATGAAGATGTGATTGTGTAAAGCCCAGACACACATGCACTGAAATACACTTTCAACACAAAACATATTCCAGTGTTCCGTGTCTTTATGTGCAATCAGTTGATTACCAGACGGGACTGACCCAAAGCTCTGCTACCAACTCCAGTGGTTTCATCATCTGGGTTATCTGATTACAGTTGTCAGGTCCTCTGTTTTTCTCTGATTAAAGGTCATCACTGTTTCTAGTGGCTGGGAATGAAAATATTCCTCATGGAAATAAGATTTTGTATTATGTAGTGGTTGACATTTCCACAGTCTGACTTATCGTTGGGAAGTAAAGAAAATTCTGTCAGTTTCACTGCTGAGCTTTTTAATTTTATAGTAGCAAATTCTTCAAATTGTAATTAGCTGAAATTAATGTTTAATTGGAACTGTCAAATACAAAGTTTCCAGCTCCCATAAGTCAACAGATTTTAAATAAATGAAAATGAAATATTAATCCTCTATACCATAGAGAGAACAGATACATTGGGGCCTATCTGAAAAAAAATCCAGGTTCTGATTAAATAAATGAATTTTTAATTCATTTTAAAAATTCTTATTTTGGATGAGTTGCTTTCTTAAATTTCCTAAAGAAAAAACCCTCATTTAATTTATACTTGTTAGAAATTAAATGTTCTTTTTTCACCACTTCATTAAATACGGCCTGTGAATATACATTATATTATATAATGGCAAACTCCTCATAACCACAGTACAGGAACAGTTACATACACATTCACACTTACAACACCAAAATAATTAATAATTGTGATGGACAAAAGCAGTGTGTTGAATAGTATAATGCAGTAAGTAAAACTGATGGACACAGAACAATCGTAGACTGAAGTTGCAAGATTTTGCTTTTATATACTTAAGAAGCAGAGTATGTTATAGGCAATTGTGAAGACACATGGTGATATGCTGAAGGACAGAGTAAGGTGATTTTTCCATAGCATATCTTAAATTTTGTAAAGTACTATCACATTATACAAGAAAGTAAATGAAAGGGAATGTCACCACCCCACCAAGATATCCTGTTTTGTCAAGTATGTTGACTTCAAACACTAAGGTGATTTTATGCGTGATTGTTGTCATTGTTTGCAAATAATGTACTCTGCTTTATGGATTATCATCACCTGTTTTTATGTGCTATGCAGTTTTCATAGTTGGTATTTCAAGGAATAGTGTAATATTTATTTTCTTGAATATAAATTTAATCAACCAGTCCTCCCTTATTTAGTCATTTAGGTCTTCTTAACCCAACAAAATCTACTATGATTACTTTTATGTGCAGATCTTTTATCCCCCATTGAAAGTTTTCTAAGTGGAATTATTTGATTAAAAATGAAAGGGCTGCCATCATTGAGACTCAAATTCATAATTATGATCCCCACTGAAAACATAAATTGTGATAGCAGATATTACCAGTAGAACATAAATAAAATAACTTGCTGCTGAAAAGAGATTGGTT